TCACTGAAGAAAGGGTAAGGTACTCAAATGGCACATTTCTTTCATTTTAAAATACAGCTGAATGTAAGATATACACAATAACTCAAGAATAATTTTTCTGGAAAGAAAAACCCTACCACATTAAATATACATGATAATGGATATGTATATTTAATTTCAGAAATGTGAAAAACTAAAGAAAATGCATCCTAGAATCAAGAAAAATGGATATGTTCAAACTCTCTTCTGGAAGATAGTGATACTAATGGAAAATTCTTATTTTAACAAATTGGTCTTCTTGGATGTGGGGAAAAGTTACGTTTGGAAAAACTTCCAATGATACAAATAATATACTTTAAATATTCAGTACATTAATTTTAGGTTTTAAATAAATACACAACAAAACTGACAAAACTACCAGACAACTTTCTTGTATTTAAACTATGTCATGAAGTATCATATACAATCCTATCAAAAAGGAACATAAGATGGGAATAATTTCCCATTCCTTACCAATATAGCAAAAGCAAACATATTTAAAAGTTTATTTCTTAAATTTTTTCTTAAAAAATGGTTCTTTGATCAAATAAATTTGGGGAACAAAATCAAACTTTTAAAAAGTTCCTTTATTTCAGGACTTCTTAAGATGTTAACAGGCACTGTGTTTTTCCAAGAGGGCAATATAATATCCTATTTCTAATTTATCCATGGTCTATTTATCAAGTTGAACTAGTGGGCCATGGAACACACATTGGGAAACATGCTGGTTATGTAATTTCCTATGTAATAATGCCATAGACCTTTCACCAGGCCACAATATACTAACATTAATCATCTGCAAATTTCATTTCAAGTTTAAATCTAAGCTTACTCTCATTTGTTTATGATCTGAACAATTTTCATCATATCATATACTGTACATTCCCTTTAAAAAATCTGTTTCGAAGAATTTCTCTTCCAGAAAGCCTCCAACATGGAACAAGAGGTCCACTTACTTATTATCAACAACTCCCTTTATTCTCTTCCACTGGTTCCCAATGAAGCTAAAAGCCCCCAAATTACACACAATTGTTCATTAATCCTATTTTATTGGACTGTATGCTTCTTTTAAGCTTTGTATAGAGGCAAACACATTGTAACTTTATTTTATTTTTGTTTTACATTGTAAATTTAAAAAAGCAGCAGCCAGTCAACCCTTAACTCAAAATGTACAGTATGTGTGTATCTGCTGTCCTTTTTGTCTACAAATAGTTCATAAAAATAATATTATTTGTCTGTGTATAATTTTAGACAAAAGTTCACATATCTTACAAGTTAGCTTGAGATTTTGAAAAATTATGTTAATTCAATTTTCTATTTCCATTGTTAATAAGCCAATTGATAATATTTTCCTCTAAACCTAGGATTCAATGTATTTGCTGTTTATAACTTGTAAGTTATTGGTAACTGTAAATCCAGCCTTCACAGAGGCCTTTCAAAAATTATTTTTTAAATATATAAGGCTCAATCATACTTAGTGTGATTTTATAATAGAAAATCAATGTACTGTTACAACAAAATAATTCATAGTTTAAACAAATTTAGGGGAAGATTAAGGAAAAGTCAGAACTATAAAACATTTCAAAAAACAGACTTTTTTCCCCTCCCAAAATAGAAACTTTAACTATCAACTGGAAAACTTTAAGTAGATCTCCCTCCTACTTTGCAAATAGTTCTTGCTGTATGGAACAGACTCAGCATGCATTCAAATAATTGATTCACTAACAGCTTTTGTCTTAAAAATAGCCTTTTACCAATTTTATACTATTCACTTAGTTAGCAAACTTTCTTCGTGGATTGTACAATGGATTTCATGGACTGCTTAGTCCACACTGAGATTTTCAAATTAATTGGCTATTTGGTTAACTCAGAGTTATTATTTATATCACATTAATTCTTGCATGTCATAAATTACAGCTAACCTGAAGGCTAGATGTAACATAATGTACTCCTCAGTGATTTAAGGCAGCTTCAACATCTTACAGTGCCACATGGACATCAATTCTCTGCATACAGCTCTAGATTGGTTAACTAAGACTGAAACGTTATTAATTTATGACATAACTTGAAAAGGACTTTAAAAATTTACATAATCTGCTTATTTGTTTGCCATATTTTTTAATGTCCAAAATGTTTCAAAATGTTCTAAAAGCACTAAGATCAGGAAAATTGTACCTTCTGCTACTTTGATGCCCTGATTAAATGCAAGTTTATTTTATATAAGCAGTTTAGTCAAATTATCTCTATACCCATTCTGGAGGGAGTTCAGCCTTCTCTAGAAATCTCTGATATAGAAAGGCACAAGTGCCCTCTTACTAAAAGGATTTTGTAGTTGGATTGAATTAGTAATGGGACTGGCCAACAACAAAGATCTTCTCTCACTCACCCTATCAAATACACTTGAAACAACAAACCCAACAACTATGCTGTGTGGGCTTCATCTCGGGTGGCATGTGCCAGGGATTACAAAACCTAGAGAGCCTGCATGTGCATGATTTCTTTCTCTCTGACAAAAAGGAAGAGACACTTCTAAATGATATCAGTGCAGAATTACACAATCTTGAACTCTTCAGCTTCAAGGGGAAAATAGCTATGAGGAGATTTCGTACTGAATATGATTTCTTGGTATAAAAATATAACTGGGACAGGCTAAATAACTAGAGCTCTGCTTGGTCTATATGAAACCTTACGGCAGGGCTTCTGACTGTACTTATCGTAGAAAGTGATTTCCATTACCAGAGGGATTTTCCTGATTTCATACAGATTTTCAGCTTCTCTTACATGTAAGCATCCACAGATGTTTTTTAGCCTTTAGGGAACAAGTATGCCACTATAAAAATCTTAAATTTATTACTCATGCTTACAATTTGTGGCTTCCTTTAGAGATGCTTCTGTATAAAGATGAGATACAAATGATAACTGCAGATGCCTGAGATCTAACCTTGGAAAAGTAGCAAAGCCTAACATTCAGAACTGAAAAAACATATAAATAGCATACACTCCAGCCCTAACTGGAATATGATGTAGGTAATGTAAAATTGGAAATTTTTTGTGTTGAAAGAACAAAATTAAAATAAGGGTAACTTTTAAGTATAAAGAATAAAATTAACATTTTGTAATCTGTATTCTTGTCTTTGGTTTGAAGACTATTACCAAAAAGATACTGCTTTAAAGTAAAATTTGACTTTTATCTAGCTTGAGTCATATAGAAAGTAAAGAATAAAAAATTGTATGTATTATATCTGATTTTAAAAAAGGATCTGATTTAGTGAGACTTTAGGAATAAATGCCAATGTAGTTTAGCATTATAAAATTTAGTATAAATATTTATGTATTTATTTATATACACACATGCATGTGTACACACACACACAGATATACACATACACACAAGCATATACACATATCTAGGTGAATAGGATCCACTCTATTATCTGACATTTCAAAGACTGAACTTTTAAAAATACCCACAGATGTCATTAGAAGGAATAATTTATTTGTAATTTAAATTTGGTACTGAATTTTAAGTTCCCTAAATGTTTATATTTTTATAATACATACTAAAATTAGATAAATCTTTGAGAGTTCTGAAAACTGACATCAAGAATTCTGTGTCTGCTGTTTTCAAACTCTGATAAAGGCTATAATTTGT